CTGATTTGATGTGGTTTGTGTTTGTTTGTTGAGGATCTGTTCTGCCCTCATTATAAGGCCTGTAACATCATGTGTCTGACAGTTTTTAATAGTGTTCTGATTTGTTCCTCACTGGTTTTAGCTTCTGCTTCCTTTGCTAAAGTTCAGTTTCACTACACTTTTCTTTTTAAAGATTAAAAATCACGTGAGTGACGACAACAACGAGAGGATGTAAGCAGCCACAGTTAATACATTTGATAAAGGGTGTGTTAGATTTTTACAGTATAGGTGTAAATGATCAAGTATTGGGTTACATAAGTTAAATAAACTGACTTGACTTGTTTAGAAAACACTGACAAACATGGAGTCTACAACTTCCTGACAAATGCCACCAGATGAAGACCATGTGATACTGTGGAAAGTTCCAGAACAGTTGAATTGACTTTGTGGTGGGACTGTTTTTACTAAAGTTCCCTGATTCGACCGGCGGATGTCGACAAACAGCAGCAGTGGCTGAAACCCCGTCATTAAGCATTAAATGCCAAAAGCAGCAGCGTCATTTGTGCAGAGACCGACAGAGTGAAGTTCTTCTGCTGCATCATCAGTGAATGTGGCTTCAAACCCTCTTCGTGTTTGTGGAGTCCCGCTGATGGGGACTTGTTGACGAGATGCTGAAGCAGCGGTTGGAGGTGAAGCTGTCTGGTGGATGCTGAGCAGCAGCTGTCTCATCATCTCGTCCATCCTCCCACTGCAAATGAGTCAACATGGCCGCGGAGCAGCTCGTCCTGCATCACCACTGAGTCACGGAATAAAGCAGTGCACAGGTAAATAAAACGTGCACGGGGGGTGCTCGGCCTGCACGCTTTGTCTTAATGTTTAAGTCGGCTGTTTTCTTCCCAGCTCCCAGACTAAATGGCGTTCATGTCCCGGTTCTCCCGGTCCCGGAGCAGCTCCAGGTCTCCGAGCCGCAAAGACTCCGAGCGCGTCTCCACAAACCTGAGCGTCTCCGAGCTGGAGAGGCTCCTTTACACCGGGAAAACAGCCTGTAACCACGCAGACGAGGTGTGGCCCCGGCTCTACATCGGAGATCAGTGAGTTGATCTTCACCCCTTTACAATAACGGTCTGTGCTTCATTAGTACTGATTAACGCATGACTCGTGATCCTTTAGAATCAGAATCAGGTTTATCGGCCAGATGTGTTGGACACACGAGGCATCTGACTCTGGTACAGCGGCTCTCAGTGTAAACATTAATGGGCTGTGTTCAGCTGAAGTGTATTGCATAAGATGTTGTTTTGCCATTTGACTTGAGGGAAGCAGTATTTTTATGCTGGCAGGACACTACTCTGTTTACTTGTTGGTTGAAGCCAAAGAGACTTTTTGGCTGGTGTTCACATCCAGTGAAGCAGCAACTGAACTGGACTCACCCAGAAAAAGGTTTTGAGGAAATATCCGTTGGCCAGGTGTTGCACATATAAAACCCAATAACAGTGCATGTTAGACTAAACTGTAACTGGCATTCACATCAAATTAAGATTGTCAAAAATTTTGATCATGCTTTATTTTCAGAATCCATATCTATATGGTACGTATGGGTTAAATGGGATAAACCAGCCAGTATGGTTTATACACACACATACTTTATGGGTTAAATGGGATAAACCAGCCAGACTTACCCAAGAAGACTGAAGCTGTAGCTGCTGCTTTGTGATACACTTGCAAACATTTCTAAAAACATGGATTCACTTTGCTTTGTGGGTTACTGAGTGGACACTGATGGACAGACGTCAGGGTTGTTGTATGATGCCACAGGAAGCGAGGGCCCACTGCAGAAAGGCAGGCACATGAGTATAGTCAGTTCCAAGACAGGCCACAAGTTGATCAAATGTAAACATGTTGTTTCATGACCCAGTTGCCTTTTTATGTTTACAAGCTATTTGAATATTACCTCAACAAATGTGTCACGCTGACACTGGGAGAAGTGACAACTGATGATGAGCTGTAACAACCTCCTCTCTCTGCAGAGACATCGCATCAGATCGCCGTGAACTGGCCAAACTTGGCATCACACACATCCTCAACTGTGCGCAGAGTAAGTGGCGCGGCGGAGCCGAGTATTACGCCGGGATGAACATCACCTATCATGGCATCGAGGCTCACGACTCCCCTTCCTTTGACATGAGTGTCAACTTCTACCCCGCTGCTGAGTTCATCCACAAAGCCCTGACAGGTGGAGGTCAGTCTGCAGATGAACACGTCCTCTGTATCCTTTGAACAACATGGAATTGTGCTGATAACCACATAGTGACCTGGATATAGACAGGATTTTAAAAATACCCAGGTTTATAGTTGGTTTAATTTTTTGCAAGAGTTTCAGACTGTGACACAGTGCAACAGCTGTTTTACGACTTGTGTCTCCAATAAATAAAGTTTATCCGATCACCACAGCTTGTGTCTCCAAACCTCTCATAAATAAAGTTTATCCGATCACCACAGTATTATACATGTTCATCCCTGAATTTTAATCATTCTTGCATTTTGAAATATAATAAGGTCACTGCCAAACTGTGCTTTAAACACCAAGCAAAGAGTCTACAGCAAACATTTCCTCAACATTATACAGCAAGTGCCAGGAAATACATAAATAAATCAATGGTATAAAATAACATTTACCAAATAGGAATAAAATCATTTCCACATTTTCAGGATTTATTTAGTTCTCCATTCATTAATTTATCACTTTTAGATGTACGTAAAATGGAGCTTCAAGGTTACTTTTGTCTTCCAAGTTAGCGCTGACTCGGGAAGTGCTGCATGAAAAACTAACGTCAAAATAAAACATATTAAATAAAAAGCAAATGTGCAAACAGACTGAGATAAAACAACCAAGAAAATTACTCTGTTAAAAGCTAAAGTTTCCAAAGCATGCATTTGAGAGCAGACACATCAACAGAGGTGCACATACAGTCCACATCTGGAACGGGCAGAGTTAAGCCGGTGTTTTGTGTCTGCAGGGAAGGTGCTGGTTCACTGCACCGTGGGCGTGAGCCGCTCCGCCACACTGGTGCTCGCCTACCTGATGATCAGACAAAACCTGACACTGGTGGAGGCCATCAAAACAGTGAAAGACCACCGAGGCGTCATCCCCAACCGAGGCTTCCTCCGCCAGCTCAACGGTCTGGACGGCATCTTGAGAGAGAGCCGTATGTCGCCACAGAGTTGAAAACACAGGTTACACCGAGGCAGTAATGGGACCGAGTCAGGGGCAACCTGCGGGTCTCTGGTACTGTGGCTCTGAAAGGCAGATAGGAGGATTTGACTGATATCAGTATCTTCCAACTCAGTTCATTCATTTTCATTCTATCTGTTTAGTCCTGTAGCGTCTGAAACACAAGCGCCAGATGGTAAAGCTCTCCACTAAAACCCATACTCTTCAAAATACGGAGGGTGGCCAACACACACAGAATATTCAGTGTCAGAAATCACCTTTAGCCCGATGAAGAATTAATTTCAGTCCAGTCTAGTCAGTATTATTGACCACAAATTTGCCTTAAAGGATGTAACCTATCTCTGTCCATAAAGTACGGACACACCAGCATTTAAAGCAGCAGCATTTCAGGGCAAAATGAATTCTTTTTAACAGTAACTGGGCACCTTGGCCCAAGCCGTGTCGACACAGCTCTCCACCGGAGGCTGTCGTAGCTCATTCGTTGTGTCTGTCACCATCCTGCTCCGTAAGAGTTTAAACTGCTCCACAAAAGAGACATTTTTGCATTGTGGGCAGTTATAAGACAGGAATCAGCAGGCCTCTCGAATAAACCACGTGAACTTATTAGTGAACAGGCTAATGAGCTGGTACCGACAGTTCGCTACGTGATGAAATGCTGTAAACTAAGAACGTAATGCCAGTGGGGGGTCAATGGCAAAGTAAATACAAATAGAAAGAACCTAGGAGAACTACTGTGACTGACTAACATGTTCGCCCGACTCCTTTACATTAGTGTTATTAAGTGCCCTGAACAGCTCACACTGTAGTTTCAGCCCAGGTCTAAACCAGCAAAGCTATGTAGCCTGATAGTATTATGTCACAACCTGTACTCGGTTATTATTCATGGCCATTTTGTGAATAGCAACCTACAGTATACTGAATTATATGATTTTTATTTTCAGCTGGGTGTTCAGTAAGTTCAATGTATTATTCCAGTCTAGTGTTTTTCAAATGACTACAGTCCTTCTTGACATTTTTATCTGATATCTGTGTGATGATCTGAAATTCATCCAGTAGACTATGCCCACTCGAACAGGATGAGCATTACAGAGGGAGGTGGGGAACAAAGTCATCATTGTGCTCTTCTGTAATTTAACTCATCATCCTGGGTGGCACTTCAGCCGTGTTGAAATTATAGGAGATGTTCTGTAGCAGATGAGGATTTCCAGCTGGATGTAGACACAAGTCTCCCCGGGGGGCACCGCAGTCCTGTAGGGAGGTAACGATACTGTGTGAGGACGTCAAATACTCCTCAGAGTCATAGCTTACAACTTAACATGCAGAAATGAAACATGTATTTATAAATTCACTGTGACGTCAGGGTATGTTATTACCGCCGTCAAGAATAAATGTCCATAAATCTGCATAGACGTCAAAGAGAAAAGACGGAACATGCCTGAGAATTGTCATGTCTGCATCCATGGGTAAACTGTAAACAGAAGCTGCTAATAGCTAATTCAGCATACTTTTAACAGTGCCAGTATGCAAACACATGCAGGTTAAAAACGAGCTCCAAACAGAATAGTTCCTACCTGTAGCTGACATTACTACAACACATTTAATTAGATTTTCTGGGGTTTTGTTCGCCTGATGGTTTAAATTTTTTTTTTGTCTTGCTTTTCTCAGTAAGCCAGTCTGCTTTTATTTACCAAATTATCAAAAACATGTCCATAGGCTGCTCCATTTTACTCCAAAACACAGAGATCCATTTTAAAATACAAGGATCTGGCCCCAGACCAGATTTTAGTTACAGAAGGAGCAGCATTGTCTAACAAAAACAGTAACTGCAGGTGTAACTATTTCTGGGGGTGGTGATAATGTCCCCCACCTCCCCCTGGAGAAAGAATAAATCTGGTTTGATTGGAGCTTTAGGCTCAACATTTTACTACAAGGCTATTAAACAACTTCCAGTCTGGTGTATCACATCAACTTTACAGTGACTGTTTGCTCTCCAAAGTAGTACTCTAAGTGACAGTATAACAGCCAGAACAAGAAGTATTTAGAGTAGGTGTGCAGTGGGAGACAGTACCACTAATGTGCCATTGCAAAAAAAACTGCCAACTGCCTGGGTGACAGGAGTGTGCACAGTGTTCACTGCTCTAGTGTGAATTCTGCTCTTTTGTCATGCTGTTAAGTGAGGCTAGTGAAAAACAATGCTGAAGTTTAAAGCAGCTTCTCAAACACCCTTGTGTATTATCAGTGGTTATCTGAAACTTGCGTTTTGTGACTCGTGGTCTTTGTGCCATTTTAACACCGTCGTGATGAAGTTCATGTGAGGGGAGAGAAGTTGACATTTCTCAGATTCAGAAACATACATACATAGCAGTTTTTATGGATTTTTACAGTCCATGGAATTTAGTTCGACATTTTTGGAAATATATTTATTTCCTCTCATGGAGTGAGATGAAAAGATCTAATCTCATCAGATCTGATGCCAGGAGGCAATTAGCTTAGCTTAGCGTAATGACTGGAAGCAAGTGGAAACAGCTAGCATGGCTCTGCATGAAGTTCTAAAGTACAACTACTAATGGCCCCAAAATGCAATAGTTAACATACTGTTTAATCCACACACAAACAAGAAATTTAAAAGGTTTTACTGGAAATTGTGCACATTCAGTATGTTTACGATTAGGGCATATTTAATAGGCCCCAGACATCCAAAATCATTTTTAAAACATATCTTTGATGTGTTCTAGCAGATGATGATGGTGTTTTCTTTTTGCAGCTAACTAGCTTCTTAGTGCTAACTCCATAAGTTGGCTGAAGATTTGTCTTCAACAGTCTTTTTTGTTTTCAACTGACTAGTTATAAAACAGAATCTCTTAAAAAGGACCTTAAATATGCATCCAATGGCTACAAACATGTCATTATGAAGTTAAAGATGCCCAAGCGATTCTCACTAGTTTGCTAACAAACACTTTTAATAGCAACTATACAGGAGTAATGTGAACAAAGTGTGGTAACGCAATATGTTGGGAACATGACGTAATGCTCGTTGGCTGTGAAATCTCTGCTACTTCTTAGACTTCAACTACAAATACACCAGCTGTGCCATGCTAACTGTTTAGCCCTGCTTCCAGTCTTTATGCTAAGCTAAGCTAACTGTTTCTCATCTCACTCACAGGGAACATTTCCCAGAATGTCAGACTATTCATTTCTTTAGTGTATTTCCCACTGTGGCTGTGGAAAGCGAGGCTAAGCAGCAACGACTATCGTGACCTTAAGGGACAATGTTTTGGTATGTGATAACTACATACCTACAGTATTTGCATCACACAGCTGGCTCCAGGGGACCAATGGCTGCCCGCATCAAACCCTGTATCACTAGAAGAGACATTTTAATGAGATCCTGGATATTTCAAATTGCCACCTACTGTCTAATATTTGCAGTGATTGGTGAAACAGTGGAGTTTCTCTCAAAGTCCAGAATCAACCAGTCAAAAACCCTCTTGTTACATTTTGTATCAGGAAACAGACTTCCTTTACCGCTCTGTTGTACTGAACCGTGGTATCCTGTTGCCAGCAGAACCTGCCTTTCTTATCAAGCTTTCCTCTGCCCACTCAGTTAAAACAGGATGGAACACTTGTAAAAATAAAATCATTTCTGACCTCACCGACCAATTTAATCTTCACCTTTACTGTATTGGATCTGAATGTTTTGTATTTGTGCTTTTACTGTGCTGTGATGGTCTCACTTCCTGTTTGTATTCTCGTGATATCTTTGTTTCTTACGAAGACCTTTCTATAGGAAAACTTGAATTATTTTGAATTTATTTTTGTATCACTCTCTTTGAAGGGGAAACTGGCAAAGGAGATGTTGATGCCTTTACCCTGTGGATTTAAAGTTGGTTTTTAGACTTCTGTTTCTGTGTTTTTATTGTCAACACTGAGCATTGATAGCTTTGTTTTGATAACTTCTGTACTTAATCAGAAATAAAAAACACTTCTATCACAGCTGTTACACTGTGTTTTGTAGCAGTAGTGAACAGGCTGCTCAGACAGTGACATTTGTATTTTTATTAGTGTTTAATTACCTCATTTTTATGCTTATATTAAACTCTAAAATGAGTGTTGTTGGAAACAGACTCAATGGCCTCAACTAAAGGCTGTTCTGGAGCTTTCAACCTTGTCACACAACCTTCATAATGCCTATATTAAATTCTAAAATGAGTATTGTTGGAAACAGACTGAATGGCCTCAACTAAAGGCTGTTCTGGTGCTTTCAACCTTGTCACACAACCTTCATCAGCGTTTTTGTATTTTTTTTTAATTGTCATAGAATGGTAGATATTTACACATCCATAAAGTTTCTCATGTTGACAGCTTAGAAGGTGAGTTTCAAAGTCTTTGGAAACAGCATCTGACAAAACAATCTTACCTAAAGCTTTTGAATATACATCACATTGCTTCTACCAGCACAATTTGACAGTTACTGCTTTCGCTGTCATTTTGTTTTCTTACAGTGTGATTTGTTTATATTTGTGTAATGTTTTATTCTATGTAAACAAACGCATGTCCTCACAACATGTATAACAGAAGGACACGTGTTTATATGACAGTAACTAGCCGAGTCGATGCCTACTGTATAATGACCTCTAGTGGTGAAACGTGTCAACTGCAAAACCATGTAGTGAGAGCACCTGATAAATGTTCACCGTGCTGATCGTATGGATCAAACTCTACTTTGTTTAGACAGACAGAGACAGAATGTGAAGACATACACAAACCCTGGTTTCCAGGTTGCTTTATTTACATGTTAATCAGATTTTGTTAACAAATGTGGTCTTTAAACGGCAGAAGGTACAAAATACTACACAATGAGTAAACACAGTAGACAAACATTATTGGAGGAGAACATGAGTTCATCTGGTGTTTTTCTACTGCAGATACGCACCATTTTAAAGATTATCTGGGTGATGAAGGGTCCTCTGACTGAAGTGAAGGAGTCACACTATTTCAGTTCACCACAGTCGGCAATGACGACCTTGGCTTTCGGAGAGCCACTCTTTGTGCCTTGCTTCTCCATTGCCTTGACAACATCAATGCCCTCCACAACATTGCCAAACACTACGTGCTTCCCGTTCAGCCTGCAGAGCAGAGGAGCTGTTTAGTATGTGCAACCATCATCTGAGACCTGCTGAAACGGTTCATCTGAACCTGAATGCAGCAGCGCACAGGTCACGGCGGAGCTCACCAGTCGGTTGACGCTGTGCAGATGAAGAACTGGGACCCGTTGGTGTTGGGCCCAGCATTAGCCATGGACAGCGTCCCCATGCCCATGTGCTTCAGCTGGAAGTTCTCATCGTCAAACTTCTCTCCGTAGATGGACTTGCCTCCAGTTCCATTGTGGTTGGTGAAATCCCCCCCCTGAAAACAACAGTCCAGATGACTGTGCATGAGGCAGCAGCAGCAACATAAACCTGTTAGCTCGGGTTCGATCTCAGCATGTGAAAACAAACAGGACCAACTTCTTGCCTTAACCTTACCTGGCACATGAACTTAGGGATGACCCGGTGAAACGTGGAGCCCTTGTAGCCAAAACCTCTCTCTCCGGTGCACAAAGCACGGAAGTTTTCTGTAATATATGGACAGTGACTCCCTCAAATATACGTATAGCAACAACACAGAAAAATCCATTACAGGTTTGTACCACTAATAAGAATTATTTCTTTTGAGCAGAAGTGTCAAGCTGCCTCAGGCTGCTGAACTCTTAGATATTTTATCAATACATTTCCTTCATCTCTGCTGAAGACAGTCAGATTCCTGGATAACTGAGATGCTGCCTTTTATTGAAGCAGCCAGCACAGAGGGAAACCTGCCCAGATGTTCCAGCTCACAGAGTTACAGATTTCACAAGTAAACAACTGTCAACATCTGTCTGCATGGTTGCATCACTTTTTCTAAACCTTCACACTTAAGTTGAGAAACACAACAGCTGCATTCTTTAAAATGAGAAACAGCAGAGGAGATATCTGCACCTCTAACATCTGGCTGCTGCTCTGAGACTCTTGTTTAGTGGCCAGACATTCACAGATTGTGGTCTCCTTTCTTCTAACATCAGCCCCAACAAACTCTTCCTCTGTGTCACAAATCCTCTTTCGTCCTGAGAGCCGTTTTCAGTGAATGTTGATGCCAGAGTGTTTTTATCTGTAGACAGTTGTGTGTCTGAAAGTGAAATCAGCTTTTCCATTGTAAAGAAAATCAACTGCACTCTAGAACTGAGTCAGAAGGTCACTGAGATCGTCTTTGGTTAAGTCTCAGATCATAAAGGTCAAAGGTCGTAAAACAGTGATCACTGCAACTTATCCAATATTTGATTACGAAAATAGCTTACCCAGGATTTTTAGCAATAACTTCTAAACCTACAGGGTGCCCAAATCTGAACTCTTAAGTGTCTTTTAATTGCACTTAAACAGAAACAGCAAACTACTACGAGCCAAGTAAAAATAAACTCAAAGCCCAAAGACCTTCAAAGCAATAATGCAAAATAAAAACGACAATGCAAGAAAAATCTGTTGTTCTCAGCTGAATGTGTGATTTAAAAGAACTCAGGCAACCCGATTTCCTTGGAAGCAAACAGGCCAGTGAGTGTAAATGAGGCCATATGACTAACAGTGGCTATGTGGGACAGTCGCAGTCAGCAGTGCATCATGCAGGTTTTCCTGGTGGCAGCTGTATACGTTGGTCAGACTGTTCCTCTCAGGTGTCGCAAGCTAGAAACAACCAATAGCAGGAGATTTCAGTCAGACAAGAGTTCTTCTCCTGAATCCTGACTCCTGGCCGTGGCAGCAGTTAGTAGCATGCCGCTATATCACTGTTCACACTCACTTTCAGCTCTGGGACTGGCTTTTTTGATCAAAGTGTCACCCACAGCCTCGACCCATATTTAGAATAAATGTTCAGCTGAGGATTAATGGGGACGCATAGTTTCCCCAACCAAACATGAATCCATATTGGGTGAGTGGAAAAAGTCTGAGCAGCATCCCTGCAGCTGAACTCCTGTCTTTCATTTCTAGCAGACCTACCTGCAGTCTTTGGGACCACATCAGCCCGGAGCTGCAAAATAATGCACAGAAAGGTGAGATGCACTACAGGCTGTAACAAACTAACTGCAGCAGCAACAAAGGCCAACTTACAGTAAATGTCTGAACTGTACTGTACAGTATATGCTCTGCTATTACAGGAGATGACATCATCGTACTCTTATACAGTCCTTCCGCTTAACACTGAGCCAGAACTGCACTAGTCTGATTTATACACTTGTCGTTACTGATGTGTTTGCTTTGCCTCTTATTAGTCCTGGGAATCAGCAGCGATCCGTCGTTTCTCACTTTAAATGAACAGGAAATAGTGAATACTGTCCATAATCATTTCGACAAAGCCAAACATGACACATTAAAACGTCTTGTTTCGTTCAAAACATAAGCAGCCTATTTTAATTCGTCGTATTTAACAAGGAAGATAGGAGCAACCCTGGCATCTGAGAATAGACAAGACCCAGGTGACCAGAGAAGCTGCATCTCCATGTGTACAGTTATACCTGCAGTCCTGTCTATCAAGCTGCGCTGCTGCTGCTGCTGCTGCTGGGCGTTTCCATGAGAGCAGGGCCACTCTGGAGGATTTTTATGATTCATTTGCTCATCTCTTTTCATCTAATTTGGCATTTTATATCAAGACAAAACGAAGCCTGGCATATTTAAACAAAGCTGATAAAATGGAAGCCTGAAAGCTGCACTGGAGAAGGTGACGCACTGCAACATCCGAACTACGGCCCTTTTAAAGATCCGACAAATGCGAGCATAAGAACATTTAAAGCTTAAATTAACTTCATTTTAAATAAACTGAAGGCACAAACGAGGTTTATCTTACCTCCATTATAATCCTGCCAGCCTTGGCGCCATCAATAGTAATGTCAAAGAACACTCTGGGGTTCCCCATGTTTTTAAACTGGCTGCGATGCGATGTTATGATGAAAAATCGCACTTGAATGAATTCCTGACAACGCGTCACATCCACTGGAGCTATTTACGTCCCTTTATATATGACTCTGTGCGCCACTGACGTAACAGCTGCCGACAGCCAATCAGAGGCCAGATCTTCTAAGTGACTCAAGAATAGACAAAAGAGAATGAGAATGGGCGGGGATAAATGTGATTAGCAATCAGCTGGTTGGATGTCTCCACGGCAACCCGATGGGGCGGAGCAAACAGGTTTCAATGGTTTAAATCGGCAACATGGAAGCATCCGTGTGTGAAGGTGTAAGAATCTAACTCACCCAAAATAACGGGCGAGGCTCAGTTGGTTTCTAGTAGAGAAAACAGAGCGAATGTTTAAAATACGAGCTTCTTCCACCAAACATGTGAAACTGAGTTTTACACGTCGTTTACTCTCATGCCGATTCCCATCATAACCGGCTATCCGACATCACGGAAGTGGTGCTGAGAGCGGAAGGTGTCTGCGTTTAGCCCCTTTGTAGGATGTATAACATTACCACCAGTTTGGAGTAAAGGTAGAAAATGTTGTTTAATGAATCAATAAAATAATAAGATAATGACCCCCCCACCAATAGTACTTTACATCACAGCCTTAAACTGTTTTTGTCAAATTAAGTGATTTTTAATTTTGATTCTTTCAGGAAATGGACAAAATAAGTGTAGTTATTATACAATGATGATAATGGTTAAAAAATAAATAGAAAATAATGGCAATTACAATGAGTTACAAAATGTGTGGAATACTTTACATATTTATAAAAATGTTTCTAGCAAATTTGCAATTAAATAAGTCAATTTTCTCAAAATGTAACATTGTGTTGCTCAAATTGACAAAGCAATTGTTTGTCTGCCTTTTCGAGGCGACTTTGGACCATAAAGGATTCAGTCGGAGAATCATTCATAGAAAAATGTCAGATTTAAAAAGTTGTATTCAGAATAATTTCAGCCTCCACATTTTTAACTGCACTACTCAACATCAGCCGTTTCCTGTCACACATGCATCATGTGTACGTATGAGCTTTTACAGTTGCTTTATAATTTTTTTAACATACACTATGTATACAGTGCCAACAATGACCCATTATACAACTAATAACATTAAAATTACCATGATTAACAAGTCATTTGATACACACACGTTCTCTAATGAAAACAGCTGATTATAGTTTGTAAACCCGCGTCACGATGGGTTGTACATGTGAAACCACTGAAAAACATACAGCTTTCGAATGGCAGAAAATGCCACAAGACATCGTTTACAGGATGCTGGACAAGTCCCAACAAAGGTAAGACCAACAGAAGGAAAGGTGAGTTTTCAGATATTTCACAGTGTTGAAGGATGTCGGCGACACGATGGACCTCAGCGTTCTCCCAACTTCATGTTCAAAACGTCTATTGTACAGGTGGCCCTGGCCTTTTGGGTCAAGCCATAGTTTGTCCTCGTTTACAGTGTGAGGTCAGACTGGAATATTCTCTTTTACTCTGTCATCAGTACACAGAAAAACATTTGACCTCTTATCTTACATCATCACTGTGTATTATATGAAAGGTCTGGTCGGGTTGCTTTTAATTCTAGGACACCATCGAGCCCCGTGGCTGTATCACAGCCACAGCTCCACTGTTGTCCTTAATCATCACCATGCACACGCGCACACACACGCACACGCACACACAGTCCCGTATGCACTGTCCTGCTGCCACAAATACAAAAGTGAATTCATCCGCTACTGAAAATAGTCCCCACCAAATGCACTGTGTTTCCTGTTGATTTGATTACAAACTAGTGAGCATCTGGTTTATGAAACTGCTGAGGCTTTTTTAAAAATACAACTATATATTTGGGAGGTGTTTTAAAGATGAACCTTTCAGTAGGAGCCAGCAGACTTGGAGCTACAGAGTAGGGAAGTAGTCAAGCTCTGGAAAAACAGCCATTGTTGGTTTTTGGTCTTTACATGAGATCTGTTGACGATTAGACATATGGAATAACACCAGTTTTATCCTTTAATGTGCTGGTTCCCAGACTGGAAGTGGGAACGTTTGTGAGCAGACTGTTAAGTAAACTTGAAGCAGGCACAGTTATTTCCTCTGATTAATGACAGTGAAGCAAATGTACACTGTGTTAAATCGCTGTCACCTGCAGGGCTGAATTTTGTGGTGGTTTAGTTACAGGATGACAGCACCAGTACCTGCTTTACTGTATCCTTTGCAGTTTCTCCCTGAAGCTGAATGAGATTTTAATATTTAATAGGGTAACAGTACCTGTTAAGAGTTTGGTTTCAGCTCACCTGGACCGATCAGCAGCCACAGCAGCTTGACGCTCACCTACTAATGTTTTCTAAAGGTGTCTGACAATCCCATGACTGTTTGGTTGGGAACTGGACAGGCACAATAAAATTCAGTTAATTCATTCATATGTTTCCTCATGTTGGCAGGAATGTGGAGACATCTGCTGTAATACCCTGCAGGAAGCCGTGAGACTAAGAAAGTTCAAGGCAGATGTGAACTACTACTTCAGGTTCAGAGCCAGGCTAGCTGCTCCCGTCCTTATGCTGAGCTAGGCTAACATACCACTGGCATCTGGTCGGCGAGTCGCCAAAGTGTTCTTACCCAACTCTTAGTAAGAAAGTGAATTCAGTGTTATTTGATGCTTTTTTTAAAATCAGTAAACAAGTAAACACTGCAACACATGAAATATGCAGGCAACATGCAACAGTCGCAGGAACAGAAGTGCCTGTTTACATGGGCGTTTGTAAAAACCCCGAACTGCCCGAATTTGGGAACCGCTGTATTAATGTGTCCACTAACTCCTCATCGCCACCTGCCAGCTTTCATTGTTCTCCAGGTAACTGGTAAAATCTATACATATGGATCCTTCAGCCTGTGATTTGTGCTATAGTGTTAGATGCTGGTCTGCAGAGTCACTGCCTATGTACTCTTCTTCACACACACAGTGTTCACATGTGAGGACAGGTCCCTCGTCTTCCTCAGCACTCTCATCATCAGTTGTTCTCAAACAGAGACAGCAGGTCATCACTGCTGTTGTTGGGAAGGTCAGGAGGACCCAGGTAGGACAGCAGCTCGTCGGGGTTGGTCAGCTCAGGGAGAAGCTTCACCAAGGACAAACACAAGAATGTTTACTTTCAGACATACAAAACCGTTTCCTGAGCTGGAATGTCAACAGTGACACTGAGCTTTTATTTACCAAGCTTCTAAGAGCTACACATCAGAAAGCTCCAAAGATCTATCACAGGAGCACCTGGGACAGACAGGTGCCACCCTGAATAAGCAGTTTCCAGCAGTCAGACACTTTGACGCTTTAGTCAAAGAAGCATTTATTTTCTAAAGCAGTTCATCTTGTTACAGGACATTTTTATGTTGATCCCAGACAGAGTCGGAGCAGGGGAGATGGAAACGGCTGCTTCCACTTCGCAACTCTGCTGTTTATTCTTTAAAACATATCCTTATGTTTTATTCGGTGGGATGTTACTCTGCAAAAGCATGTTTTCTTTTTAGAAAAACATTTTTAGCTGTTAAACATTTATGGGCATGTATAAATCGTAATAATTTAAACAAGTTTTAATAGCAGGAGTGAAAGTGAGGAATATTTACTTTTATGCCCACATTTGCAGGTTTGAAGAGGCAAATTCAAGCCCAGGTCTAAAAATCTATGAACATACGATCAACAGGTTGCCACTTACATCTAGTGCATGATCCGCTCCCTCTCCTCCAGGTGCTCCCGGGCCTCCCAGACCAAACGAGCCTTCGCTCTGCAGCCGGGAATTCTGGGTACTGGTGTTCCGCTGTGGCAGAGGGCTGCCGGCCTCACCGAGACTCTGGCTGCCGTGGCCACCTGAACTGTGCTGCTGCAGGATGTTCTGGGCATGTTCGATTCGTCCAGAATGAGGCATCTGATGGAGCAGAGACACAAAAACAAGGTGGCAGTGTTTATTTCACAACAAGAGGACAAGGTGCTACAGGATTTCCCCACTGTTTCACACCATAAACAACACAATGCATGCAGACTGGTAGGCCGGCCCTAGTTATGCATTACTTTCAACATAGCACAGGTTTGAACTGCATGCAGTCACATTAACGGACGGGCATTGACGTCGGATGCTGCGTAGAGTGGATAAGATACCATACATTAGACTCGGCCTTTTCAGCTCATATTAAAAATCTAATCTAAAAATCTCATGCAGGCAACGCGTGACTAAGTTTGAGCGACATTTCTAGTGTGAAGCGATCTCCTGCCGGCACTGGCCTTCTGTCTGTAGTCTGTTCATGCTCTGATGCCTGCTCAGCCATTAAGGAAAATGTCCTGAGTGAATCGAACAGAAAAGGCACTGAGCCTGATCCTCGTCACTGTGTCTGTCAAAAAAAAAGTGTGTGTTTGCCTGCAAGTGTATTATGGGAATCGAACAGAAAACACTGAGCCTGATCCTTGTCACTGTGTCTGTCAAAAAAAAGTGTGTGTGTTTGCCTGCAAGTGTATTATGTAAAAGAGGGTGTCCAACCTGGTCAGACTGGTAGGAGAGTGGAGGAGGCGGTGGTCCAGAAGAGGCGTACTCTCCGAGTGTCGGGGTGCCAGGAGTGTTGGGGAAGTCTGTAAATCCCGTTTGGCTGGAGAATCCCTGGCTCCCTGCAGATAAAACAGGTCAGTGCTGTTGCAGAAACGCCGTGACCGGTGCAGAATGGGAGAGGAAATACCGCCAGCCGTGGTGTACAAAACGACACCCTTGTCAGGTTCGCTCGTTACCTACCTGGCCTGCTGTAGTCAGGGGTGCTCCTCCCTCCTGCTGTCAGACTCTGGTAGGGAGACGACGCCGGGCCCAGAGCAGCGATCATTTCCATCACGTTGGGCAAGACCATGTGACTGGGGCTGACTGTGCGGCAGCGCTTCAGGACCGGACCATCGGGCTCCTCCTTTACGTGCAGATCTGGCTTAACAGGCACCGGCCTCCAACCACACAACGGGTCAATGGTGATCTCCTCATAGTCAGAACTGATGATAGAAAGGAGACGTAGAAGGAGTTTAAATGACAAGGGAAGCAAAGACACATACAGATGATCTTGTTTACATAAACTCCACATACAAACACTTACTTCTGGATGTAAACAAGAATACCGAGCATGTACTGGTCAACCTCCAGCCCCTCAAGCAAAGCTGTTTTACTGGGAACAGAGGAACAAGCTGCTGGTTAAACTGTTTGCTGAGGAGATTTGATTCTAAAAGGTCCCTCCTAAAACACATACTTGCATACAGGACATCTCCAGGTCCCTCGTTCACAATTCAGCTGCAGGTAAGACTCCAGGTCGAAGCACTACAAAATAAAGACACCATATGAGAGAACGAATGAGGACACACAGATGTGCATGCAGGTGTGTGTCTGAGACCCCACCTGTATGTGTCTGCAGTCGTGACCTCGGGCTGGCAGCTGGATCCGTCTGAATGTGATCGGGCATTTGAGAGAAACTTTGATCGCTGTCTGCTCGACACCGTCCTCTCCGTTCAGCCCGGGGGTCCCGGGGATAGTACCGCTGCTGAAGTTTCTCTTTACTGAAAGACAATGGGAAGGAAACATTTACCTCACTGACACATGAACGCATTTCTGTTGTTCAGAACAACAGGGAACACGTTCTTATTGCAGAAGCAGTTTTAACCAGTGGCAATTTGTGGATTAATATTCAAATAAAAATAATCAATGAATAAAACCAAATGTACTTTTCATTATTTTCATTTCCTTCAGGTGCACAAGGACAAAAAAAGACACCATAAGCAAAACAAAAATGCTGCAGGCAACATGTTGAGACGTGGGACATTTATTGTGACTCAGAGCTGAAGCACTTTCACAGGTCGAAATGAAATTCCTCTCATCATTCCAAACAACTGTGGCATGAAATATCTGGTTCCTTCAAAAAGTCACAGGTACAAGGTTGTGAACTTAAATTTTCAGGGGGAGACGTTAACAAACGACTCCTGAGGTGCATTCAGTAAAAATCACCGATCTTATTAACACGTGACCCTGCTGGTGTACACTAATAAAAGCTGCCACTGCTGTGAACCACAAGAACACACACACACACATTGAAATGAACCTGAACTCACTCTTAGTGATGCAGTGCTCGGCTGGCAGCAGCCTCTTCTTCATCAGCCCCTGCAGGACAGACCTGACAGACGGCCGGTGGACCAGCTGAAGCACAAACAGGTGGGACTGGGGGGACAAGAGGGCAAAAGAGTGTTTGATCCATGTGATGTTTCTAAGCGTGCAGCGCTGTGAGAGCCGTATATCACTGAGGTGTACTCACACAACAGCAGGCGGTTACGGTGATCTGGACGGTGTTACGTCCCGGCTGGCACACTTGCTTTAGGTACAAAGGCTTGTGGGAGGTTTTGTTGTCACCTCGTTCAATGGACAAAGGAGTTGCATTCACACTCACCTGAAAATTAAATGACAAGTACTTTTATTTTAAGCCTTTTGTCTAGTTTTCATCCAGGCATCTGCTGTCCATGTACAAGCTTTCATCATTAAAACACACTGCAGTTACTGACATCCTTAAAAAGAGTTCAACAGTCAAGTTATTCACTTTCAACTGAAATCTGTCCCAGTCCTGTGTGTTGGACATGTCTACAGTCAATGTAAGTGATGATGTTCAACACAAAAACTAGTGAAAAAAGGGTGAAATAGCTGTAAACACCTTTAATAAACAGCGACCTGACAAAGTCAAGCGAGATGAGGCTGCTTACTTGTACAGAGGCGGGCCAGTTGGTGTTCATCTGCCTGTCCTCGTGGTGGTAACACTTGAGCTGCAGCTCCAGGTCAGGCCTGCAGGGGGAGACACCACACAGCTGTCAGACAGACTGGGTGGGGTTATCAAACATTCCTCATTTGTTTTTCCTCATCTGGTGGTTTAAAGGAAGCGAAACGGAGGAGTCTGAGCTGACAGCTACTGTGTGACCTCTGCCTCACTCCAGAGTGAACAACTATTTTTATGGCAAACGCGTCTCTTTATTCATGATTTCTCTCCCACTCCTACGATAAAGAGCCGAAGACTAGTTTGGGCAAATGATACTGGAGAAGACGTGACAGAGTGGAAATGTGTTTTACATCATGAGTTTTCAACCATTTGTACAGTTAAAGTTACATTAGTTTGATCCGGTAACTCCACACCAGGGCATTAAATGTGAGGAAGAGGAACATTTTGTTTTGGTTCATGAATAATTCCCTTGGTCTAAGATTTTCTGAAGAAAGTTTGGCATTTTTGACTAGGAACTTCCTTCCAAGTTTTAATACTTGTGTATTTCCTATTCTAGATAAACTTTGAAGGAGTGAAAGGATGGGACACCAAACAACCGCTGTGTTGTGGGAAACCCACTGAAACGATCTCTTTCAGGTTTATCTATGGAAAAATGAACTTGGGGGGCCAAAATAACAGAAACATCTCTTACAGTGGCTTCTGTTATTTAGCCGAGCCTCGTTGATATAAATGGGGTGGCCAAAATAACAGAAACATCTCTCTGAACAACACTGTCCAGGTGAACAGCAGCACAGACTGCAGCCGCCACAGCGAGCCCACGGGCCAACCAACACCTCTGTGAAACAGTCTGAACATCATCAGGATTCACTGCAGCACTGCTGGATCAGACTGACTCAGCTTGACACCGGGGTTCCTAATAAACTGCTGTTTCATGTGTCTGATATAAATACAAAACAGAATATAAACAGTAGTTAAAAAGCAGCTCAGTGTGTGTGTTAGTCAAGTCTCCCCACCTCATCATGAGCGTTTTGTAAACCGAGTCCCTCAGCTGGAAGGCGTGGTTACTGACGGCCAGGTTGTGCTCCAGTCTGAACGGCTCTAGCACGACGCCATCTCGGACCGGGAAAGTCAGACGCAAGTCGTCACTGGGGTTACCTGGAGTGGGAAACAGAGGCGGACGTTAGTGCGACTTTACTGGAGTTTCAACTGAAGCAAGGGACTAAACGCAACTCCTGCGTGATAGAGGTCCAGGAGTAATCAGACAGGTGTGCAGGTTCTACTGTCATTAACTGGTCAGACACCTGCTACAGTGTGTGTGCTGCTTCATTCACAAAACAGGAGGGTGAACCTAGAAGAGAAAGGACGAGATGGAGAAGCTTTCAAGGAGCTACGGAGAAATCAGAAGCAAAGTGAAACCACCATTTGATTATTATTTTATTACAGTGCTCTTCTAAAGTAGAAATAAATAACCATCAACTCATCATACTGGAGAAGACTGCATGTAAACGCACTGACAGGAAGGGGGGGCCATGTTTCTTCTTTGTGTTTTAACTGGAGTTTAAAGTGTGCCTGCTGCAGCAGTAGTCTCACCTGTCGAGAGCTGCTGGGAGCTGATGTTGGGCTTGGTGTCCGGTGAAAGGTAGGGGGGTTTTGTGTCCTGGCTTGGAGACAGGTACGGAGGCATAGAGGTGCCAGGTGTCATCGGAGGGGTGGGATTCCCTCCCATCGGTGAGCTGGGATACCCGGGCATCGCCCCGCCCCGACCTGGCTGAGAGACGAGGATGAGGACGAGTGTTTAGAACTTTAGTTCTTCAGTGTATCTCACTGAATGTTTAAGAAAAACCCAGGACCACATCCAGGATTCCTGTGTGTTAAAACAAACTGGATTCAGTCCTTGAATAAAAGGGACCAGGGTGGGTGCACATGACTTACCCCGTTCACTGCAGCCTGTGTGAACGCGTTGTATCCTCCTGCTCCTCCTGATGGCAGGCTGCCCTGACCACTGAACGGCTCTGACTGGAGAATACACACACAGGAAACATGACACTCACACAGGGCTCCGCTTATCTGGAGTTCAACAGCGGTGTAAACTTCAGTATCACTCAGCCTTGTCTACCTTATAATACTGTGGAGGGTTGGGTTGGCCCGCTCCAGGGGGGAACTGTGCTGGGCTGTGTGATCCAGAGGTGTACTGTCCCATGAGAGGCAACCGACTGGAGGGGTAGGAGGGTGAGAGGGCACATCTCTGCTGTGGACCAGCAGGGTACTGCAGAGGCTGGTTAGGGTACCCTGACATCCCACCAGAGCCGTACTGCTGCACTGGAAAACCCTGCAAAGGCCAGATGAGAACAGTTACTGACCTGCTCTGACAAATATGAACCATGAAGCCCAGTTAAACTGCAGGGATGACAGGGTCAAAGTGTTTGTTGAAGAATGTGTGTTGCACCTCTGGTCCATTTCATTCTCATTTCCTGTCTCTATTACAGCACGTCTAGAACAATCCCATTTCCCTTGCATTCACCAAAATGACCCTCCATTCAGCCTCAAAACAGGATGAAACCTTACGGTTACACTGCAGAAAAATGTACCGATACTGAGCAGGATGACCACAAACTGTCAGAAGCTAATAACAGCGACACACATTGGGGTCTGGCAGTGTGTTGACTTTGTCTGAAACAAGAAAACAAGCAGGAATCTCTGTGCCATGCAGGCGTCAGTAGAGGTGAATGTCAGACTGGGTCAAAGTGTAAATGTGACTGTACGGGGCAGCAAAGACATTTTCACTATCGATAAACATGCAAATTATTTTATCGACTAGTTGTTAGAAAACTGCTAAAAATCTCCATCAGCGTCCTAAAGCCAAAGGTCACATGTTCAGATGTTTGGTTTTGTCTGACCAACTTAGTTGAACATATTAAATTTGCAATCATAAAAAACACAACAAACGATGCAATTATCAAAATACTTTGTTTTCTGTTGATCAGCTACTTGTTTTCACTCTAATCACAAGCTCTACCAGCCTCCACAGTGACCACCCAGGTGAACCGACAGCTGTGTGAAACAGCCTGACCACACACTGAACATCATCACCCACATGGAGGAGGATCTGCAGCAGGACTGTTGGAGTAGACCGGCACAGTCTGAGACAGGTGTTCCTAATAAAGTGACAACTGTGTGTATGCATGCATTTCATTTTCATGCATGAACATGAGCAGTGCTGTTTGTTGTTGCAGACAATGACTGGGTATCATCATATAAATTACACAGGCCTTCTGCATTTAGAATCTGTGAGCAAACCGTCTCTGACCTCTGAGTGGAAAGGCCGCTTGAGGCCTTGCTGTGCCCCTGGATAGCCCCCGTGCTGGGGCATCTTCTGCGTCTGGGCGGGGTGAGGGGGGTACAAGCCTCCGGTGGAAGGTGGAGGTCCAGGCCTGGAAGGGACCATCCCACCGGGGTTCATCCCTGGAGGTCCGCGGGGGCTCGAGTGAGACAGGAACTGGGTGCCGTAAGAGGATGTTCCACCCATCTGGGAGGGAAAAGGAAGTACGTCAGCAGGGGTAAAAACAAAGCTCACTCAGTATCTCACAGCTCAGAGTATGTGGGACTGGTGGAGTGGACACAGTATAAACAGCAACGGTAGGAGAAGAGGTTTACATCGTGCTCAGAGGTGAAGAGTCAGTAACGGTGGCCTGGTGCTGTACAGCCTGTGTCTTCTACAGTGGACCTTGCTTCTACAGTGACTCTCATTATGCAAATACGCAGTGTGTGGAGTAAATAGTCTGGCACAGGAGAGCAGTGTCCAACGATGTGCTGTCCCTGCTGTTAGCAGGAAGCATGCGTCATGAATCTGGGTGTGTCTGCAGCTCTCACACAGCCCTGCAACTAAACACCACTCAGTCAGGGCTGGAAAGGACAACCGTTAAAACCCACCGCCCCGTGCAGATCTCGTTCACCAGGGAGACCAGCACACTCAAACCCCAAAGCAGCCATTCATTTCACCTCGTACACGGATCTTTGGACACAAGACATGTGACGACGCCAGCTTGGACTCTGGAGAGTCACAGCAGGACTTTTCCTGGTGTCTGACATTCTGTTAGCAGATTAATCAGTGACACCTGAAGTTTGCAATTCCTGTCATTTATTCAGAGGTTTCGCTTCACTTCACACCTGTCCCATGTCAATACTGACTAGGACACATGCTTGGAAACAGGGAGTCAACTTTAGGAACAAGGAGTCCTTTAAAAACCAAAACCACAAACTACTAATACCATTCAGTTTACCAAGTCATCAGACTGAAGAAGTAAATGACGGCACTGGAGGTATGGAGTGTAGTTTCCTTTATGTCAGTGTGTGAGCCAGCCCCTCCCTACAACAGGTGTTTTCTCCCTCAGAGACACATACCTGTCCATAGTTCAGCTCCTGGTTCTGTTTTTCCTGGATTGCTGCGACAGTTGCCGTAGCAGTGGCGGTTGCTGTGGCGGCGGCGGCGGCAACAGCTGCGGCAGCGGCCTGAGTAAAGTCTGAGGGAGGACGAACGCCCAGGCCGGCGCCTCCACTGTTACCAGAGTAACTGCAGGGAGAGGGGAGGGCAGAGAGATGAGTGGGCAGTGAACCTAGTGATCAGAGTGTGTGAGGTTTTGTCATGAGCGTGAGTCACAGCAGTGGGTGAGAGCAGCCACACTGACACGATGCAAAACCCCACAGCAGCAGCACGACTACAGCACAGTGCTGGGAGTACCCAGGCCCTTTACTACAGTGAGAGTAGCAACACAAAAAAGTCCCACATGGAAAATGTTACTCAAGTACAAAAGTATTGGCATCAACATACACTTGAAGTACCAAAAGTACTCGTCCTGCAGAACGGCCCGTCCCAGTCTCTGATACTGGATCCTAGTGACTGGTGCGTTACTGTGTTAATCTCTTTAACGCTGCAGTAAAGGTGGAGCCAATGGTAACTACCTTATATACTTATACTGTGAAGTACTTTCTGCTGGGTAGCTGGTGGATTTCCCACTGGGATCAGTAGAGTCTGATGGTTCTACTGGGTTTGGTTTGATTCTGAAAATGAACTAAAGTTATCAGATGCATGTAGTGCACTGAAAAGTACACGGTTTGTCTCTGACATGTGGTGAAGTCGCAGTATGAAGGAAGATAACGTGGAAATGTTTAAGGTCAAATGTCTCAAAACTGCACTTAAGCACAGCGCACGATTAAATGTGCTCAGTTACTTTCCACTGCTGGTAACTGCAGATGCTTTACCCAGTACAAAAGGTAAACAAGGTTTCCTGTACCTTTAAAACTCGACAGGTTATCTTCAACTTGCGGTCATTGTGAAAGTGAACTAGAGTTAAATTCAGTCTCAGCGTGAAGCGTACCTTCCACTGTAGGCTGAGACTTGGTTGTAGGCCGCGCCGGGACGCCCGTACATGACCGGCTGGCCGTAGGCTTTGGACACAGCATCTCCGTACGACTGCTGGCCCATGAACTGAGAGCCCATGGTGCCTGCGCCCATCCCAGGGCTGCCACTGGGCATCATGTGACTGCCAGAGCTCTCACCTGGCCCCATGGGTGAACCGAACACCTACACAGGACACAGAGAGAGGCGGTATCAGTCATATGAACCATAACGTGATGGATAAGTGAAACAAAGTGAACACAGACGCGTCTTCACAGTCATGAGACGCACTAACAGTTAAACTGGGACTACATGAGAGCCAACGCATTTTCATTTGAAAGACACTGACTTCACTGTTTTATAACATTCAGAGCCATCAAATTTAATTACTGACGGCGTCATGCGGTTATTCACAGCAGTTAGTTTGTCAAATTAGCACAAATAAAGCTTTATTCTAAATGACTGACCGACTGATTTCCATCTTGCATTCACAGTAGAGGATTTCTGTTTTATTTTAAGGGTCCATAATTTCCTAATGCCTTACGTTTTCTGGAAATACTGCAGAGAACACAGGAAAGCTCTTCAAGCAAAGTCTCTTAGGCCTACAACAAACAACTATTTTAAGCATTAACTAATCTGCCACTGGCTCTTTCTTATACTTTCCCACACCCCAAGATGTATCGTGACTGTTTATCAGATTAAAACCAGATATCTTCAGTTCATATTCATCATAAAACCCTCACATTTCAGAATCCACAGCCAGTAAAGTTTAGCATTTTTTCTACAGTTGTCAAACTGTGGCAGAGAGAGCCAGGCCTTCATATGGGACGGGCTCAGGCCTCACCCACGTGGCCTCTTCTTCACACAGTGTGCATTACCACAGCGCTGACACCATAAGCACAGAAAGTCACACCAGGCCTTTCACATTTATCCTGAATGATGTTACACACCACTGTTAACTACCTTATATACTTATACTGTGAAGTACTTTACATCCTACTGGGTAGTTGGTGGATTTCCCACTGGGAACAATAGAGTCTGATGGTTCTACTGGGTTTGATTCATCTGGTTCTGGACCTGAACTTATCAGTACATGCAGTGCAGTAAAAAGTGCACAGCTTGACTGTGAAAAGTTCAAGCATGAAAAATACTCAAGTACCTCAACACTGTACTTAAATACAGTACTTGAGTAAATGTACTTTGGGACTTTCTACCACTGGTCATTTCATCCATTGGCTTCATAAAAATTCTCTCCAAGTCAGAAGAAATCAGCAGAGAGAGGGACAGTGAGAGATTTGTACTCCAGCATTACGCTGATTCCACTCTGTGAAACGAGGACCAGCTCCTTCTCTGCTTCTGCACACAAACCAGGAGGAGAGAGAACGTCCCACAGTACTGAGTCATGTGTTACCTGGCTGTGTGTGGGACTGGTCACGCCCCACACTGTGGTTACTACGGAGAGAGATCCTGCGTGCTGATTGGTGCCTGGTTGCCAGGAGACTGGGTCATCAAGGAAGGGGCTGTCACTGCTGCAGAAAGACACAAAGCCTGGTTACTGGGAAGAAGTATTTGCAAAAATACTGTTACACCTAAAACTACAAGAGAGCTAAATCAAAATATACTGCTTATTTTGTTATATTACACAGCCTTACGTTGATTTACTGTTTACTTGCCCCTTACATGGGGATATGTACATACACACTGAGAGCCGATGTACCAGAGTCAGACTCCTCGTGGCCAATAAAGCTGATTCTGAAAATGCACTTGAAGCACCAAAAGTAACAGTAGTGATTCTGCAGAATGGCAATTTTCAAATTAATGTGTATATTATTGGATCATAATGACTAACGCTGCAGCTGGTAAAGGTGGAGCTGATGGTAACTACCTTATATACTTATACTGTGAAGTACTTTCCATCCTGCTGGGTAGCTGGTGGATTTCACACTGGGATCAATAGAGTCTGATGGTTCTATTGGGTTTGATTCATCTGATTGTGGACCTGAAGTTATCAGGTACATGTAGTGTAGTAAAAAGTACACGGTTTGTCTCTGACATGGAGTCACAGGATGAAGTAGCAGGACATGGAAATACTGAAGTAGTAAAGGTAATGTCAAATTGTATTTGAGTACATGTACTTTGTTAGTTTGCACCAGCGCTATGACGAATGGTGCCTCACGTTCATTAGTGACTGCTCACTATCTCAGATGTTTTACAGTTTTCTCCTTGAGAAAACTTTTCACCATATCAAGCTCCTTCCTACTATAAAGCCAGAACTGTGTGAAAGGTAATGAGCTCAGCATTTAGCTCAGGGAACTAAAGGGAACTAAAGATTAACCTGAGAGTGGCTTGTTCTACTGACAGTTGAGGTTACCCTCTGCTTCCTCTTTAAACCATTTCCTCCACAGGAAAAGACCACAGCAGCACCACTGCTGTGCAACACCTTGTGCAGGGTGACCGCCCTCCGCCATAACCGGACTGTCGTTTAGTATTTTATGAATAATTCTTCACAGCTTTTGGTACAGAATTAAAACCTTAAGCTGACATTATGTCAAACATACAGGAGCTGATTTAACTGCTGCTGCTTCGCTCTTCCTCTTTCAACAGTCGGCCGCTGCTTGTCGTGTCAGTAACAAGCCTCTTGCTTTCATGGCTTTGTGCAGACAAACTGAGGAGTCATCGGGCTTTGTGGCTGCACTCAATTAAAGACTGTTTTGGCCTGAGTAAACCTAATCAAGATGCTTCTAAAAAATGCTTAACTCAAGCCCACAGTTTGCAATCAAGGATCTGAAGCAGACTGAACCCAGTGTGATGGATTCCTTCATAGAGTTTAATCTGTTCTCCCTTTCGTTTGTTATTCAGACATCAGTCTGCAGGGCAGACGTGGCAGGTGGGATCTGCAGCTCAGACTTATTGTCTAATGTCGGTGTTACCACTCTAGGATGAACAGTGCTTTGAATTTATAAAAACCTGTTCAAAAAGCCCCAAAGACATTTACATGCGAATTTACATGTCAGTCAAAGTGATGAATGACCATTTACAGGCTTAAAGGAAACTGTAATTGAGTTAATATATAGTGATAATTTAAATAACACTGCACTAGGTAGAGATGTTTATATAAAATCAGTTTCCATAGTTTTAAATCATATTTCCTTTACAGGAAGTGCATTACAAATTCATTTCATATCAAAACTTATAGCACAAGACCAGAGATTTTCAATGTTTTTGTTGTTTTGCACAAATCCCATCCAGAGACTAAAGACTGTGTGCGAGTCCAGACCCTGGTTTAGCTTACTGCTCTGTACCGCAGACCTCCATTGTTGTCAGGGAACAATTAAACACACCGGTGAGCCACACCGCTGCACTGGCCGACAGGTTACTTCCTCAGGACTAATGTGAGGCCGTCTGCTTTCAACAAACGGCTCCACAGGCTGAGAACTGTGTCACCGTGTACAGAGTCTGAGGGAAGGAGGAGTCACTGATCTCTGCTCTGTTTACGCTGCTCCACTAGCTTGTCACGTTAGCAGAGTAGCAGAGAGTGCATGAGACTCAGTGGTTTTGGTCTCTGGATGACCTTTCTGGAAAATAAAGACTGAAAAAGCCTCATCCTTTCAGCATCTGACAAGCTTTTAGAAATTCTACTTCCATTGTGTTGGTTCATAAGCCAGTCACTCCAGTCCTGTGATCCTTTTTATTAGGAAGCCTCATACCCATACAGACAGGTGGCAAACTAAAGGACAACCCAGCACAGAGTCCCAGTGAGGTGCTGGGCCACCACGTGCCACCAGAACAGCTCCACCATGAGATGAACACCGTTCTTCCAGCAGATGTTCCCTCATGTGGTGCTTTGATGATGGTGGTGGAGACGCCGTCTAACACGTCGCTCCAACATCTCCCATAGCTGTTCAACTGGGCTGAGACTTGGTGACTGGGAAGGCCACAGCATCTGGTTCACATCAATGTCATCCTCAGCAGACCAGTAAGTGAGCCCTGGTGTCCCGTGGACGGTGGGGGGCACCGTCATCCTGGAGGAGATCGCTTACTTAGCCAGGGTTTTCATGTGTCACCTGTCTGTGCATGTGATGTGCATGAATAACACCCCGTCAGTCTAGTATTACCAATGTAAAGCTCAGCCCAACAGCAGCCCTTTGTGAAGCGGGCCAGCCCTCATTCATTCGAATGGAGCTTGTCCGTCAGCAAAGCGTCACTTTGTGACGTCATCTCACAGCGTGCTGCGATGTCCCATCACATACATACAGGTGACAAATGAAAGGAAAACCCAGCCTGAGCGGAAACACAAACAGCAGTGACAAAAGGTAAAATAGGTGGTGCCTTCCAGAGCTGTAGAATCCAGTGTGAGTTTTACAAACCAGTGTGTACTGTTTGAGTCGTATAACCCCTTAAACACATCATCTGTTCCTCAAACTAGAATTCCTGGATCGTATTTCAAGTCTCAGTGGCACCTTAAACAGCAGGCCACACGTTAATACCACCCTCTGCGTTGTTTTAACCCAATTTTCAGTCAGACTCCTCTCTCAGGCTCGGTGAAACCAAGCAACACAATGAGAGCTGGGCTAAGTTGTGATACAGGCCCTTGGGGTCCACAGCAACCCATAACAAACAAGTCGCTGGGCGGGTGTCACATGGTTCACCTGAGGACACCGAGCTTAATGTACCTTTGTGGAGTGGGAGGCAGGCAGGGTTTCATGGAGTTGAGGGGGTTCATCAGATGAACGGGGGATCATGAGAAAGCCCCCGCTGTCCTCAAGTGGCAGCCCTAAGACAGAGAAAGACAAAAAGATGGTTACTCACAGCTCATTTGTCTTCACTAGAGCCCACACTGTGTGCACAAAGACGAATCGCCCTCCCACTCAGAGCCACTCACTTTAATCTGCGTGCGGACTGTGCACATCAAAACGCTAGCCTATCGCTGACTGCTATAGCCCTGTTACCTCTCACAGGAGGGGGATGGGTGCTGCAGCTAAATTTAGCCTGCTGATTTCAAAAGGAATTTAAGAGAACAGAGATGTGAAGAGGCAGACTGTCCCTCTCAGCACACCGACGTTCTAACACACACTTGTTCTTGGATTTGGTTCATTTAATAACAGCCCTGCATGTTTATCTGCCACTCTCCCTCCTTCAGTGCCAGATGTTTTCTCTGTTTCCTACATATTCCTCATCTCCGCTCCATCGCTGCTCTCCTCCTACCGTCTGCTAATGACTTCTTTATCTGACATGCTAATTTTCTTTATCTGACATGCTAATTTTCCAACATCAGAGCCTTGCTTCGACATCCCATCCCCCTCACTTCTTCTGTCTGGTTTCCTTTAGCACTTCGCAGATTTGGGTCAGACACCCCACATTTGTATAAGAGGAGATTTGGGGTGGTGGTGGTGGTGGTGGTGCTCAGATCACATGGCCACGACACCTGAATTCCCTCCTATCAAAAGGCATCTCCAGCCTCCAGACAGCACCTTGCAACTTCCATCACAGCTGAGCAGCTACACCACACAAAGGGGGGAGACATGTAAGATGTCTGTCTCGATCAGATGTGGAAGTGAGAAGAAGCAGAACAGGCTGTACCTGCAGGGGAATCACTGAGACACCGACCTCTCTCATCTCTTTGCTTCTCTGAACCTCAGCTTTCTGACCTTTTCTTTACCTGCAACTCATCCTCTTCATCTCTCCTGTACTCTCTGGTCTTTTCTCTCAGATGCTGCCGTCAAACTGCAGCCAACCCTCGACTGACCCTCTGCTCCCACTGCCAACACTGTTCAGCTTTAGTCTTTTCTACTGCTAATGTTTCTTTTCTTTATAAATAAATTTACCATTTATGCTATGATTCAATTGCTTGGTCTATACACCACCACAAAAAATGTGAAAATGGCTATTTGGACTATAATTCAAATCCAAAATTCAATGTGAATGAATTTACTTTAAACTACGGATGCCTGGTTGGGACAAACTGTACAAACAGCAGCCTCCAGTCTGAAGCTAGCGTTAGCTGGCTAACAGTAAACG